GTTCCCATGCAGCTGCTGCTCTTGTCCTTCTAGGTAGAAATGGTTGTGGGTTTGGAAGGTGTTGTCTGAGGATCTTTGGTGAATTTCTGCAGTACATCTTTGTTTTTTTTATGATTAGAAACCAACATTAAATGTGATATGAATCTTGCCATTGAAGTAAAGTGTAAAAAGATAATTCAGAAAATACGTAGCAGAATAGAAAAGATGCCAAGTTGCAGACAACCTGGCATTTTGTTGATTTTGAAAAGGCTTCCTGCAGCTAAAACCAAAAGGTATATTTTGAAGTTTCTTTGTCAATGAACAGAGGGACATTAATGAAAACAACACAATGATGAATTTGCAGACAGCAAGTGTTCAAATGAGGTGAGCTTTGTTCAGATGAAACGTGACTGGGTACAGGGCATACGACCAGCCGTCACCCAAACATCAGAAAATGCTGAATGTCAGTCCAGGCTTGGAGCCAAAATAAGTGGATGTGCAATGGATGAAGTCAATGTGCGATCAGTGGTCGAAGCAATGACAGTCCACGGGGTGGGGAGGTTCTGATAGTGATGGAAAGTGTTCATTCTGAAGGAGTCTCATCCAAAACAGTGACCATTAATTTATGATTTTCCCATGATGAGTGACCTGTTATGTATTTCTCAATTTTTGATTTCTCCTTTAAAACTGTGGGACTTTTGACCTGTGTTCAGTCTATGATGAATTTGTAAAACAAACGGCCCCAATTTAGGAAGAAATGTAAGCTTTAAAAAGAGCAGAAACATTGTTTTATTTATTTATTCTTGACATCCTTTGCTGTCTAGTCCAGTATTTATTGCCCATCCCTAATTGCCTTGGACAAGGTGACAGTAAGGTGCCTTCTTGAACTGCTGTTGTCTTTGGGGTATAAAGAAACCTACATTGCTGAGAAGCAGGTCCAGGATTTTCACCTAGTTATACTGACAGAATGGTGCAATAGTTTCAGGTCAGGGTTGTGCGCAACTTGGTAGGAAACTCAGAGGGTGGTGTCCCCATGTGCTTGTTGCTATTGCCCTTCTAGGTGGTATAGATTGTGATTTAGGGAAGTGATGTTGAAGGAACCTGGGGAAGTTGTTAAGTTGTTTCAGTGCATGTTGGTGTTGGTACAAACTATTGCTGTTGTCTAGCAGTAATGAAGGAAGAGAATGTTGAAAGTCACTATTGGAGTTAGAATCATAGAATTGATGCAGTGCCCAAGGAAGCCATTTGACCACTGTGTCTGCACTGGCTTTCAGAACGAGAATCTCACCAGTGCCGTTTTCCTGTCTGCTCTCTCTCGAAGTCTGTGCATTGTTCCTTTACAGCGAAGAGTCTAATTCCCTTATGATTATCATGATTCATGTACCCAGATTACAGTACAGTCTGCTTTGTCCTGGATGGAGTTGAGTTCCTTTGCATATTTGGAGCTGCACTAATCCAGGCAAGTGGGCAGTATTCCATCACATTTCGGACTTGTACCTTGTGGATAGTGGAAGGCTTTGAGGAGTTACTAGAGGGGTTCCCAGCCTCTGACCTCTTGTAGTCACAGAGTTTATACTGTTGGCCCAGTTCAGGATGTGGCTGATGAAAACACCAAGATGTTGATAGTTGGGGGAAACAATGATGAAAATGCTCTTTCATGTCAATGCAAGATCATTAGATTCTCTCCTGTTGAAGATGATCATCCCCTGCCAATTGCTTGTAATCAGTCCAAAATTGAATCTTGTTAAGGTGAATATAGACTGAATATGAATATCCACATGAATATAGACTGTTTTATTGACTGAGGAGAAGTGAATAGTGCTGAACATGTACAATCGTCAGGGAATATCCCCATTTCTGACCTTCTGACATGGGCATGGTCATTGATAAAGTAACTGAAGACGTTTGGGCCTTACACACCACCACAAATTCCTGCAATGATGTCTTAGGGCTGAGATGATTGGACTCCGTGACTACAATCATCACTCGTTGTACTAAGAATGGCTCCAACCAGTGGAATCTTTTCACATTGATTCCAATTTTGCTTCCTGATGTGACACTCCATCGACTGTTGCCTTGATATCACGGGCAATCACTTCCCAGCTTTCCCCTAGTATGATGATACTGGTGTGCAGTGAGTTGAGATGAGCGTTTGAACCCAGTCCTACAGTGAGAGTACATGAATCATCTCTCCCCAGTGTGAACACGCTGGTATGTCAGCGGATTGGTTAACTGTGTGACTCCTTTCCCACAGTCAGAGCAGGTCAAGTTCCTCTCTCTTCTGTGACTATGTCAGTGAATTCCGAGGTCAGATGGGACGCGAACCTCTTCCCACATTCCTCACATTTCCATAGTTTCCCACCTTTGTCAGTGCATTTATGTTCTGATCGGCCTGGTGATCGGCTGAATTCTTGTCCTCACGTAGTATACGTGTACAGCTTCTCCCCAACGGGCGCAATGATTTTTCCTTGCATGTTCAAAATTCAGGAATATTCAGGGCACTATAAACTGGCTGATTGTCAGATTCTGAGGTGCTGTTTGGGTTGAGTTTTCCAACAGCAGATCCAATCATAGAATCCCTACAATACGGAAGGACACTATTCGGCCCATCAAGTCTGCACCAACCCGCCGAGGAACATCCCACCCACACCCACCATCCTACCGTATTCCCGTAACGCTACATTTCCCATGGTTAATCCACATAATCTATACAGACTCGGACACTGTGGATAATTTAGCATGGGCATTCCACCTAACCTTCATATCTTTGGACTGCGGGAGGAAACCCCGCAGACACGGGTAGAATGTGTAAATTCACGCAACGAGTCCCTCAAGAGCGGAATCTAACCTTGTCTTAGACATCATGAGGCAGAAGTGCACACCACTGAAACACGCGACGCCCGTAAATCCTTCTAATATCCTGTGCAATTTGTTAATCTGAAACTTTTAAAACAGAAATAAATGTGAGAGAACAGACAATAACACAAAGGCGGGTTGTGAGATGGAGCTGAATGAAACTGGAAATTTGTGGTGGTGATAGCAGAAGAAAGTTGCCATGACAGCTGCTCAATTATGCTAAAATCACACTTCGTTCACTCCCATTGGTTGGAAGACCAGCCGCTCCGGCTCGGTCCTCCAGCCTCGCGCTTCATTCACTCTCATTGGTTGGAGGATCAGCCGCTCATGCTCTGACCTCCTGCCCCGCCCCTCACTCTTCCATTGGTTGGACTAATTGATTGATGGCCTTCTCTGCTGGTCCAACAATGATGTGGAGGTAAAATCTAAAAGAACTGTGGATGCTGTAAATCAGGAACAAAAACAAAGTTGCTGGAAAAGGTCGGCAGGTTTGGCAGCATCTGTGAAGGAGAAAACAGAGTTAACGTTTCGGGTCCGGTGACCCTTCCTCAGAACACAGAATGATGTGGAGATTGTGGGAGTTGGACAGGGTGGACATAGTCAAAAATCACACGACACCAGGTTATAATCCAACAGGTTTATTTGAAAACACATGCCTTCGGAGCCTTTCTGCTTCTTCAGGTGCTCGTGAGAGAGGAAGCAAAAAGACACAGAATTTATAAGTATTTTTGCTTCCTCTCACGAGCACCTGAAGAAGGGGACAGACTCCGAAATCTAGTGTCTCCAACCATGGGCCCAAGTCGCTTTGGAGCATGCGCTGAAAACGCAAGCCAGCCTGCGACCGCCGATAGAGTGGTTTCCGGGTCTCATGGAATTGTGGGCAGTTTGGCAGCCATGAGAGACAACGTCTCAGGTATTTGCATCTGAATCGGGAAACGTATCGAGAGACAGTGAAGAATTACTCAGATGAAGGTCTGTCTCTAACCAGCTGCGTTTATGAAACGCTTGGCCAATTATCAGTAATAGAAAAAAGTAATTGCCAAAGAAAGACAACAGGTTTGGCAGCATTTGAACAGAGAAGACAGTTACAATTTCAAATTCAGCAACTTTCTGTCAGACTGAATTTATTTCTGTTTATTACAATCGTTGTTCTGCTCCAGTTCGTATTTTAATCAGATTTTGGTAATAATGCCTGGTTATTCCAACCAGAATTCCATACGGCAGAATATGATCTACCTCCATTAGCAATGTACAAACCTGCCCCGATATTTCACCATTTTGAATGACATTTTTTAAAAAAAATCTTGCTGTGCCTCTGCCAGTCTGGTTGCATCTCTCTCTGTGTTTTTTTTTCAGCTGCTTAGTTTACAGCCTCGAGTTTTCAAATTGAAATCTATAATTTGAGAAACTGACCACATGATATCTGCCGCCATCTGTCTTCCATCGACCACGCACCTTCCATTGATGTTCATTGAAGATTTCATAGTAGTGCCAGTAACTGTGATCGAATCAGGGGAACTGGTTACATTGCAACTACATTTAAATCCTCTCCCAACTGAGAAAGCCCTCGAAAATTAATCACAATTTCAGAGGAAACTATAAAACACACATGGAGCAATGAATTGAATTATTGATGATGTTCAGTCCGTGTGTTAGGATTCTTGAACGAATAAAACATTGCCGATGGTTCAAATCTGAAAGACTAACAGCGAATGCGAGAAACTCTCAGCAAGGCGAGACACAGTCTGACACACGTTACAAGATAACCAGGGAAATGGGGAGTAAATTAGTTGGTTATACTGGGAGACAGGGACAACAACAAGAGGTGGGAATGACTGGAAAGGGGATTACGGGATAAAGACACGTGACTGGGTCAGAGAATGTGGACAGCACAGCGAGACTCCCTGAGGTACTTGCCTTGGACTGTCCTGCTCCTGGGCAGGGCTGGGTTAAGTGTCAGGAAGCTGCAAATTGGAAGGTCTGGCAGCATCTGTGAAGAAAAAAAACAGAGTTAACTTTTCGGGTCCGGTAACCCTTCCCCAGAAGGATCCTGAAGTCCTGAGGAAGGGTCATCGGACTAGAAACGTTAACTCTGTTTTTTCCTTCACAGATGCTGCCAGATTTGCCTGCTGGGCTTTTCCAGCAACTTTGTTTTTATTCCTGATTTACAGCATCCGCAGTTCTTTCGGTTTTTATTTTGGAGATTGGAAGGTTGTTCTGTGAACTGGGCGGGACTGAGGTTGTGACCGACAGGTCAGGAGGGATATCAGAGCAGGAGCAGCCTCTGCTCCGCCTTTTCTTCATGAATGTTTGACTGGAGTTGGGTTGGTGAGTGTTTAGAACTCTCTGTCTGTATCCTGGCAATGTAGGTGGACTGTAGGTCACTGTGTGAGATCATATCATCAACCCTCTCTCTTCCCCTTTCTCCCAATCCATGTTACAGGCTGCAGGCTGCAGTGGATGCAGGACTATGGTCAATCTCGGCGCTGATTTGGGTGCACAGAGACGGTTTAGTACTTGGTGATGACAGATCATTCTGCCCAGTAGGATAGAATCTAATCTATCAGCAGGGAACCACACAGCCCTCAGAGACTGGGGTTAATTTCTTTGGAGCAGAATAGACTGAGGGGTACATTGTTCAGATGTATAAATTTATGGAGGACACAGACAGAGTAAACAAGAATGAATCTTTCAGCTTAGTGGTAGAATCAGTATCGGAGGGCATGGATAAGGGCCAGGAGGTTTTGATGAGATGTGGGGATTTTTTTCTCACTCAGATAATGGGGGGAGTCTGAAACTCACTGCCTGGAAGTGTGGTAGAGGTAGAAACCGTCATAACATTCCAGAACTATTTAGATGTATAAAATAAACACTGAAAGAACTGCGGATGCTGTAAATCAGAAACAAAACAGAAATTGTTGACAAAGTTCTGCAGGTCTGGCAGCATCTGTGGAGAGAAATCAGAATTAATGTTTCTGGTCGAGTTTCCCTTTTTAGATCTATTCTCTGTCCAGGTGCTCCCAGACGTGCTGAATATTTTCAGCAATTTCTTTTTAAATGTATACTTGTGATGCCAATACATACACACTTGTGGGCCAAGTGCTGGAAATGGCACTTGAATAGTTAGAGGATGTATTTGTCCGGCATCGATTCAATGAGCCGAAGGACCTTTTTCTCTGCTGTGGACTTTGAAACTGGGTGAATGGTTCAGGTCGGTGAGCAAAGGGAGGGGGAGGGGTGCAGTTAACAAAGTGAATGAGCAGGTGAAGGGCGGGCCAGTTTCATTGAGAAAAGATTTCATGTTGCGAAATCAAGGAGAGTGGTGATGGAGAAGTAAAGGGACAAAAGAAGTGTCTGGATGAGGTGTGAATGGGGCATTAGTAATCGTGAATGCAAAGTAAAGATAATCAGCGAGATATATACAAAAAAAGGAGCAGATAGAAAAAACATTTTGCCAGAGATGAGTTTTCTTTTCACCCAGAGAGTGGGGAGCCTGTGGAATTCGTCGCAAAAGGAAGGGGCTGAGCCCAGAACTTTGAAAGTTTTCTTGAAGGAGTTAGACATAGTTCCGAAGGCTGAAGGGATGAAAGGATATGGAGATGAAACCAGAGCAGGATATTGAATAGCGCAATAGGCATGTAGGGACGCATGGCCTGTACATGCTGAAGGAAAAAAAATTACTGCAGATGCTGGAGTCTGTACTGAAAACAAATACTGGGGATCACAGCGGGTCAGACAGCATCATCTTTTTCAAGCTGCTGTGACCAGGAAAATGGGGAGGAATAACTGGGATAAACAGGGAGCCAGGGACAACAGCACAATGTGGAAATTACTAGGAAGGGAGCAACTGGAAAATGTTCAGAGAATGAGTACAGTACAGGTGGGTGCCAATCTGCATTGTATCTGCCCAGCATAGTGATGCCCATCAAGGTCCATCAGCCAAGTCAATTCAGTATTTACAATGCAATAGGGATGGGGTGAAGTGGTTTGGACAATTTTTGACACAGCAGAAGGCAGGAGATCACCAATTCCCCAGTCGCTGGTTCCATAGAGACTTGCTTTGGGCTGTCCCACTCCTGGAGAGGGCTGGTGAAGGTTCAGGAAGCTGCCAGCTGGTAGGTAGCTTGGGGTTGGGGGCTTTGCTCCTCCTCTTGTTTGTGGCTGTTTCACTGAAGTCATTTTGCTGAGTGATAATAAACTCTGTCACCCAATCCCAGGAATATGTCTGGGTGGTTGCTGTGAGTGTGAGATAATTTTGCTTCTCCTCATCTTTCCTGCTTCTCCCAATCCCAGAGCCAGGCTGCAGTCTCTGGGTAATCTGATGGGGATGAAGGCTGTTTTATAGTTTGTTTCTTTGTGTTGCAGTGGAGTGGAGATGGAGAAGCTGTTGGGTTTAACTTTGATCCCTGGTGGATCCAGCAATTTCTAATTTGTCAAGGCAAGGAGATTCTAGGGGACATTGTAATTTTAAAGGAATATTATCTAATCAGCATTAATTATGTTGTTTTTGTTACACTTATTTCTGAAGGGCATTTTAAACCATTTTGCACAAACTGCTTTTTTAAAAATAAAGCTCCATTCTTGATATGGGCAAGCTAAGGTTGAGCAAGGCTGTCAGATATTGTCAATCCTGTTGAGCAGGTGAGAGTGTGTCACATGAACCACTGCCATCCCTGTGCTGAAGGTGCTCACACAATGCTTTCTTTCTAAGGGTTGTTACAGTGCAGTGATGAACGATATATTTATAAGTCGACAGACACAGTTGGCATTAATACGTCTCCCTGACTATAATGAAACATTTACTGGCATTTCACGGATATGTTATATCACTGAGTAACATAAAGCCAATGAGCAAGAAGTTTTTAAAGATGTCAGCTTGAAAGACAATCTTGAATGGAGAGAGGGTCAGTGAGGCATATGGAGAGAATTTCAGACCATATGGCCTAAGGTCTAGGTCAGTAATATATCAAAAGAATGATTCAGATGCTGCTCAACCTGCTGAGTGTTTCAACATTTTCTGTCTTTACTCCAGATTTCCAATATTTTGCTTCTGCTCTTGTTCTTAGTACTAAAGGGATCAGAGCATTTGGGGACAAAATGGGAACAGTCAAGTTGTAAGCCCATATAATGCCTCCTTCAGTGTTTTATCACCCAGCTCAACCTCCCATTTTTAGTTTGTGCAAACACTGACTGGGTTTTAATGATAATCCAACAGCTTAGATCAAAATTTTTCTCCCCAATTATCGGCTCCACAAATGGTCAGTTGAATTTCTCTCAATTTCATAACCTGTGTGTGTTATTCTGCTTTCTTTCTCTCACGACTTTTTATTTCCTGTTTGAAAGGTTGAGTTATAATTAAAGGATTCAGACAAAACCACATCCAGCTCTGAGAGTCATTCTGTTTATCGGAACCTAATTATCAAAGGATTCTGAACGGTAAACAGCAGCATTCACACTGGGCAGAAACACACCTACATTGTACGTGTAACAGTCTGCCAGCATTTATCTGAAATGTCAAAACACCAGCACAGTCATGCTAGGGAGAGACTGTGAAAAAATGAGGCCTGCTGGAAGGGAATTCTTTACCCATCCCAGCTGGAAACTCACCAATGCAGTCACACAGGGGAGAAGCTGTTCACCTGCTCTGATTGTGGGAAGGGATTCACACAGTCATCCCACTTGCTGAGACACCAGCGAGTTCACACTGGGGAGAAACCATTCATTTGCTCTGTGTGTGGAAAGGGATTCAGTCAGGCATCCATCCTGCTTATACACGAGCGAGTTCACACTGGAGAGAGACCCTTTACCTGCTCTGATTGTGGGAAGGCATTCACACAGTCATCCAGCCTGCTGACACACCAGTGAGTTCACACTGGAGAGAGACCATTCGCCTGTTCTCTGTGTGGCAAAGGATTCATTCAGGAATCCCACCTGCTAATACAACAGCGAGTTCACACTGGAGAGAAACCATTCACTTGCTCTGTGTGTGGGAAGGGATTCACTCAGTCATCCCACTTGCTGAGACACCAGCATGTTCACACTGGGGAGAAACCATTCACTTGCTCCAATTGTGGAAAGGGATTCACTCAGTCATCCAACCTGCTGAGACACCAGCGATTTCACTAATAGTCACCAAAAGACTGTTCACCCCTCATTCACATCAAGGAATGAACAATGGTCTTGGGCAGTTGAAATGTTAATAAAATTGTCTATCTGGAGGACTTGGTTTTGTTAATGATCACATCGTTGCACATGGGTCATGCACACATTGACATTGGGTAGAGACAGTCCATCTGCACAGTGAAAACAGGGATTTTCTGGTTTATCAGGACTGGTTAATTACCCGAGTTCTTTGAGTGCTTGGAGGAATAGGATTTTGATGCTATTGACATCCACCTCCATACCATCTGTTTCTGATGACGTTTGTAAAGGCCACTAGTCTGGTTATCTATTGGAGATTAAAAAAAAAGTACCAATTAGCTTTCTGTTGAGCACATGATGATCAAGTCTATCTCATATCTCTAAGGCAGATAATAATTTCTTTTGAAGGGCTCTCCATCTTTCTTACCTGCTCCATCCTCACGTGCAACAAGTGTGATGATCTCATGGAGTTTATTTGTGACTAAAAATGAGACAATCGATCAGCAGCCTCTGCTTCTTCCTTCTCTACCGCTATGTCAAGTTGTCTCTTAAACTCCCCTTGCTCCAGCTGTGATCCTGCATCATTGTACAGTCTTGGCTTGTCAGTGCATATAGCTTCTTGCATACATGGCCTACAGTGTCAGAGTTTGGCTCTTTCCTTCCATAAACAGCAGTAGAATCATGCTTCAACAAAATGTGCAAAATCATGGTCTGACATATTCCCCGTCTTACCTACTACCATCAAGCCAGAGGATTGATACTGGTTGAATTGAGAATTCAGGAGGATGTACTAGGAATAGTAGCATGAATGTCTAAAAATGAGATGATATGGGGGTGCTGGTGTTGGTCTGAGGTGGACAAGGTCAGAAGTAAGATGACACCAGGTTATAATCTAATAGGTTTATTTGAGATTACAAGTTATTGGAGCATTGTCCCTTCGTCAGGTGAAGTGAAAAATGAGATGTCAACCTATTTAAGTTACCAAAGTTACCAAACAGAACAGATCTAAACTCTGCAGTCCAGCCACATTCAGTTGTGAATGGGGGTAGACATTTGGACAACTCACTGGAGGAGCAGGCTCCACAAATATCCCCATCCTCAATGATGGAAGAGCACAGCGCATCAGTGCAAATGATATGGCTAAACCATTCGCAACAACATTCACCCTGCTGAGTGGGTAATCCATATCAGCTTCCTTCAGTAGTCCCCAGCATTACAGATGCCAGTCTTCAGTCATTTTGATTCACTCCATGTGATATCATGAAACGGCTGGAGGAACTGCATACTGCCCTGAAAACATTCTGCCAATAGTACTGGAGGCAGTTGCTTCAGAACTTGCTGCTCCCCAGGCCAATGTGTTGCAGTACAGTTACAACAGTGCCATCTACACAACAATGTGAAACATTGCCCAGGTCTGCTCTGTACACACAAAACAGGACAAATCAAACATAGACCATTACTAGCCCATCGGTCTGCTTCTTGATCATCACAACAGTAATGGAACAAGTCATCAATGGTGCTCACAAGCAGCATTTGCTTAGCAGCGACATGCTCACTGATGCCTAGTTTGGATTCCATCAGGGCTGCTCAGCTCCTGACTCCATTACAGCCAAAGAATTCCAGAAGTGAGGCGAAACTGACAGCCCTTGACATCAAGATTGCATTTGATTGAGTTTGGCATCAAGCATCCCGAGAAAAACTAGAATCAATGGAAAGCAGGGGAATGTTCTTTTCTTATTGAAGTCATACCTGGCACCGAGGAGGATGGTTGTGATTGTTGGAGATCAGTCATCTGATCGTCCTCAATTGCCTCGTCAATGACATTTCCTCCATCATAAGGTCAGAAATAGGGACGTTCACTGATGATTGCACAATGGTCAGCATCATTTGTGACTTCTCATATACTAAAGCAGTTTGTGATCAAATGCAATAAGACCTGGACAATATCATGTAGCAAGTAACATTCACAGAGCACAAATGCCAGACAATGACATTCTCCAAAAAGGGACAATCTAACCATCAACCCTTAGCATTGAATGCAGATACCATCAGTGAATTCCCTAGTATTAACACCCCGAGGGTTACAATTAACAAGAAGTCCACTGGATTCACCATTCAACTACAGAAGCCATAATAAGAAGTCAGAGGCCAGGAATACTGCAGCAAATAACTCACTTCCTGATTCCCCATCATCTAAAAGGCAGAAGGCAGCAGTGTGATGGAATACTGCCCACTTGCCTGGATGGGTGTGATCTGGCCAGAGCTGGCAGCTGCTTGTCCTGGAAACCTTGGCTATGGAGGGGAAGGTGGCCAATTGGTGGGGGCAGAACTGTGGTGTCCGTGCTCCTGATTGGTTGCCTAGAAATTGGGAACATCACTGGTTGAGTTGGGGGAGTCCAAAGCTAGAGGGCATAGGTTTAAGGTTAGATGAGAAAGATTTAAAAGGGACCTAAGGTGCAACCTTTTCATGCAGAGGGTGGTGCATATATGGAATGAATTTCCAGAGGAAGTGGTGGAGGCTGGTACAATTACAACGTTTAAAAGGCATCTGGATCTGTATATGAATACGCAGGGTTTAGAGGGATATGGGCCAAATGCGTCTAGATTTATTTAGGATATTTGGTCAGGATGGACGAGTTGGACCGAAGGGTCTGTTTCTGTGTTGTATATCTGTATGACTCTAAAATACATTATTTGTAGTTATTTTATGTTAGCAAATTCTAACAATTGATTTTTGTAAGAATGTTCTAGATGAGTCTTTAATGTAAAACACTTAGTATAAATATATCTGATATAAACCTGTGTGAGTTTAAATTAAGTCTTTTTTTTATTGAATTAATGAATATTGTAATATTTTAATTATATGTATAATTGAACTTAAAGTTTATTGACATTTTCTCTGTTTTTCTGGCTAGTATTCAATTGTATTGCTATGGTTACTGGCAGACTTATCTTTTGTTAGTACATTGTGGCCTTGCTGCATAGTTTCTGGAAAAATTGGAATTAAATCAAATTTTTTACTGTCATGAAATCATATATTACATCCAAAAGGACTTCCTTCAGACATTTAGCTTCAATAATTCCTATATCCAAGACTACCTGTTTAGGGTGACCTGTACCTGACTATGTAAGGGACTTGTACCTGAACACACTAAGCGGCCCATGCCTGTTTACAACATTGCAGACAGAAGCTAAGCAAAACTAAGCAGCCTGTTCACAGTGAAATACAATGGTACCTTTTGAACAGAACTGCTGGTAGGTCAGTAAAAGAACACTGTATGTTTCCTTCCGAGACAGTTCTGATAAACGGATGCCTTAGGACAGATAAATGACCAATTCCAGCTTTATTAATGAAAGGATGATTGTCCCAGTAAATGAATAACATTAGGTGCTAGATTAGGTCCTTAAGCAGCTCCAAGGATAGCAGCTAAAGTTATTTCCTAGTAAATAGTTGCCTCTTTGAAGCTACCAGCAATATTAAATAGTTTCTAGCTAAAAATGCTCTAAGAGAAGTTGGTTTCAATACATAACCAGAATATAATACAAGCCTTAAAAAACATTTAAGCTTAGGTGTGAAGTTTGACTAGCCTTAGGAGACACCTTCTGTTATGCCCTGAACAAGATAGATTGATCATAGCCCATAAATTACAAAATGCTGACAGTAGTAGATGTATAATATTACATTTATAATTAACTTTATAACAGAAGTTAATCTTATAGCAATTAGTTAAAACCAAATGAATTTTTAATTTTACATTATGTAATTGGGACAGTGGGAAAATAAAAGGAGTAACTGAATATGATAAAAGACAGCATCAAAATACAATGGTTAATAGAATTTGAGCTGTCCTTACAGATAAACAAGCCTGAGAAAGTCCCAAAGGAGTATAGCCATTAAGTATTTTGGAATGTGAATGAATAAGTTGCAAAGAAAGATTCCAAGGCCTAGAGATTACAATGTCTAGCTAATACCATAAGATCATGGGAACCTGGGGCTGTCCATGGAAGTGCCCATCATTAATTAGGTGTCCCACAGTAATGCATGTTTGGATTAGAGGGAAAGACAGTGACTACATTGTATTTGATTATTGTAACACAAAATGTATAAAAATACAGTATTTCTTTGTAAAATCAGAAGGTGTGTCATTGATCTATCTTCTGAAGCCACACTCCGGGAAGATCCTTTGGCCCTCTCCCTAAGTAAACTGGTTTCTGCTTGAAAAAGCATCTTCCACTTGCCCGAATCCTGCCTGCCTCCTGAGTCTTTGTCCCGGGTTGGGAAAAATGCTCCTACAGATTGGTGCAGTGAGCAGGGTGCTCTGCCTGAAGCTGGAACACCTTGGGCCATGGTCTGGGTGAGTATGTTTTTTTTACCACCCTTTCTAGATAGCATGGCACTTGGTGGGGGACTTCTGTCAGCAAGGGCAGAAAACCAACTTTTACATTGGAGCGAATATGAGATGTCAGGATCAGGGATAATGGAAGTGGGCGCCCGGCACGAGAGCATGTGAAATACTGCGAGAACATGAAATAACACGAGAACATGTGAAACAACGTGACAGTGCGTGAAATAATGCAAGAACGCAAAACAAGGAAGAGGGGGTTGCGAGTCCTGATGCTATCACATGCGAAATATAAGAAATAAAGAGTGAAATAAGACGTAAGAGGAAAAAAAGAAACAAAATAAGAGAAAATAAAGTGAAATGAGGAAAAAAAGAAGCAAAATAAGAGAAAAAAGAATGAGGAAAAAATGAGGCAAAGTGAGAAAAAAAGTTAAATGAGGAAAAAAAACAGAGTGAAATAAGAGCAAAAAGCAAAATGAGGAAAAAAAGAAGCAAAACAAGAGAGAAAAAAGAAGCAAATTAATAGAAAATAAAGGTGAAACACAAAAAAGACCAGACAGAAATCTCTGGCATGAGAGAAGTGTGAGGTAGTAAAAGAACAAGTATCTGGGAAATAATAAAACAGTAAAATAGAAGCAGACACAGTTAGGAGAAGTCTAGGGAAGAATTGTGGAAAAATGGGCTGGGGTCCAGATTGGTCCATTCTGCAGAATGTGTTTTCTAAAAAAAGTGCAGAAACATGCTGAAATAGCTAGTTCACTGAATCTTGTAGAGGTGTTAACTCTTTGTAGTCAGGTTTGAATGCACCTTTGCTGATTGCGAAATGTTGTCTTGTGTAGTTTGTGTTTTTGTTCCTTAGAGCTCGAGATCTGGGAATGCTTTGAAGTTAGTTGCATTTTGGGAATGTGTGGTGATTTAAATATGTGATGTGCCTGTGTTAAGTATGGGACATGTATTGTTAACG